TCTGTGAGCCAGCAATTACAGACGAGACGCCCAGGGTTTGAATGTGTCTCCGGGTTTGACCCAAAGAGCATAAGCCCACAGTGTTTGGAATAAAATGAATTACTTGGAGATATCATCTAAAATTCTTGATTTCCATTTTGTTGTTGTTGTCGAGAAGAATTGGAACCCCTGGCAATCCCCTTATCTCAGTTTATTTTCCTTGCCAGGCTCCTGTGGTCTGGCTTCTTTCTTGGACCCGTGATATTAGGTGTTTAATCCTCTGTGGCATTATAAGCCCACTTAAGCTGGAGAGGCAGTGTCTGGGTCAAGGACCTACCGTTAGCAGGAAGTCCTGCTGGACTTGGGAGCCCCTGTTCTTTCTGCTCTGTCCCCCTCACAGCTCTTCAGTGCTGCCACTCAGCTCCTGTGCCGGGCACGTCACAGTCTTTTGTCAGGCTCTTTGTCACATCAGATGGCCTTTCTAGTGTCTTAGTCTTCCTGAGGAGGGGTATGTGTGGGTTCTTTGTTTCTTTGGTTTTAAATAAATTATTTTTTGAGGATGAGGCAGAATATGATTGGTTTGAAAGGAGCCATGGTTTTGAGAATCGCATAGTTTAAGAATGAGAATATTAGTCATGGGATCTCAGTAGGTTGTCAGATGCTGAAAATACTTGAAAAGACTTGGCCATGTGACAGCTCCATGTGGCTAATGATGATTGGGGACTTGTGTTTGTTTTCCTCAGATAAATCACTATTTCAGGAGCTTTACAGGAAATTATACCCATCATTCCTTTAACTCTGTACAACTGTTTTTCTTTTTAAAATCAAAATACATTAAAAAATTTTTTTAATGTACAAGTATATAGTGCAGGAGAGAGACATGTGATTATTTGCGTATTCCAGGAAATAGGCAGAAAAGGATTTACAGGTCATGGGCTGGCTGTCCTAGCCCCTTCTCGGCTCCCGCAGGAAGCAACACAGTAAGCAACATCTTACTTGTAAACAATGGAAAATGAAGTGTATGTCCTGGCTGCATTCCAGGTTGCTCCTTGTTTAGCTGCTGATGGTGTCAGAGTAACCCAGGTCTGTCTGTGTGGATTCTCTGCAGATGTTGTTTCCTCGGGATGGCGTGTCTTACCTCTGACACAGACAATTTGAGTGTATTATGGCTGTAGACTAAGAGCTGATCTTCAGGAGTAAACAGAAAGCTGACATGTACTCGGGAAAGGGTTTGTTCATGAGGCAGCTACTCCTTGATGCTGAGCATCTAGTTACATATGTCAGAGAAAAGCTTTCAGGTTTTGCCCTGTCCTTGGAAGACATTTTCAAAATGAGCAGTTTTACGTTGAGACCTCTCGCTTCTCTCTCCAGGAACTCACTGAGTGACTAAGAATGATCTCGATATGTTGGTTTCAAGCTAGGTTTAAATCTGAAAATGAAGATGGATTTCATTTATTTTTACTAAATTAAAAATAAGATCTGTTTTTTACATGGCAGGGGTCCTGGTTCACCAAAAGCTCTTCTGTGTTCATACCGGGATGTGGATACAAAACTTCTAAGGAGAGCTGACTGGTCAGACTACATTCGAAGTCCTTATTTCTGGATTCGGGTAGTGAGGATGTCTGTCACTTATCCTTTGTGACGGAGGAAAAAGGACACACGGTTTTCTCCCACCTTCCCTAGAACCAGCATTATTAGGAAAGTGACTGTCCGGAGGAGGCGGGCTTTCCCTGAGGAGTGGGACCTGCGTGTTGCAGGGAGGGAGAGTCAGCATTGGCTTTAACGCATCTTGTGGGGAAGTTTGTTGTGTGGAATTTCTTTTTTCAAACCTATAAATAGAAGGAGAATGAAGACGATTTTTGTTCAACTGTCCTCTGGGCCACAGGAATGTGTGCATGTGTTTAGCTGCCCGCTTTCTCTCCTCCTCTGCTCCCCTCCCTCCCTCCCTCCCTCCGTGTAGTGACTGATTTACACTCGGGTAGTGATTTAGTCATGAGGAGATTCTGCCTCCATAAATATTAAATCCTTAAAAAAGAAATCTCCATGCATGGTTACCCAGTTATTTTTGGCCCATGATGTTTTCTTTTATCTTCCGGTTCTCCTCCTTACAGACTTCATCAGGCTGCCCTGATGGGATAGGGATGAAAAACTTTGAAAATTCTTTCTAACAAAGGCCAGTGACCCCTGGGAGATGGGGTGCAGGGAAATCCAGGACCAGAATGGAAAATCAGATTGAAAAAATAGTAGAGCTTCTACATAAAGAGCCAACATAGAAAACGTTATTCTCCTAAGCTTTCTATCTAAATTAGAGAGAGTAAAGACCTAATTCAGATACAGTCAGTAATGACAGACATACACTTACTGTAGGTATTACATCTCAATATGAAGCGGAGAGAGAAAAGAAAGATGCAGGCAGACGGCAAGAAGTAATATAGCCAAACTAGGGAGACCAAAAAAGGTAGAAGGTAAGAATAAAATCAAGTTTCGTAGGAAGTGGTAATGACAGACACAAAGCACAGAATATGCATAAATACCATGCCCTGCCTTTCGGCCTGGTTCATACTTGCTACTCTCCCGGCCCTTCAAAACAGTTTCCATTTTAAGAACCCAAATTCAGAAACTTCTCGAGTAAGTATTGTTTGGCTGTAGTTTCATCATTCGGTTAGTGTTGTGTGTGAAAACGACCACACCTGTATTTGGGAAGCTATACCAGACTGTTGGCCAGAAGCCTGAGAAATTGTGATTAAGGTTATTTATCAGTATAGTGCTCTAAAAGTATTAAGTCAATTAAGAGATTGTCCAAAAATCTAAGTTGTTTAAATATCTGCCTGATGTGCTGAAAAGCACTAGCATTTTAAAATTCCTCTCGTTTCTTCAATTTTTTTCTCTTATGAAATAAAATTTTAAAAATTACAATGAAATGTGTAGATTAATTTTATAGCAAGCTACTCAGAGACTAGAAAATAGTTTTAAACAGTTGAGAGTGTATTCCTTTTAGGCATTAAATGGCTTTTGTGTAAGGATTATGGTTATCTACTTTTTTTTATGATTCCTTGGGAAAGTGTTGAATATTAATTTATGACAAAGAGGAATTCTTTTCTGAGTAACTCATACATCTTAAGGCTTTTAAAAGTATTTCAACTAAGAAATCTTAAGACTTTGGCTTTTGTTTTTTAATAACTGATCATGAAAACGGATGACACTCTTGGCATTTGACCCGTGGGTAGTGTGAAGCTAAGCAAAGGACTGGAAATTTTCCACTTCTGGTTCTGGTTGGGTGGTCCAGGGCCACGGGGTTGATTGCAGTTGTGTTGAGGTGGCCTGCCTGAACACGGGGATTTCCTTGTGCGTGTTTGCTGGCGGAGGGTCATACTAACGTTAGCCATTTAGATCTCCTGAGTGACGTCAAAGTGCTCATCAAGCACTTATTTCCTGTGCACAAAAAGTACTCTGCATTACACTAATATTACTTTCTTTTTCTCCTCCAAAACCAATAAGTAGGCCCAGTTACATTATACATACTTCTGATTACTTTGGTATGTGATCAATTAAAAAATTTTCTTTAATGTAGTCTTACTGGCCAAACAGTGGGATTTAAATCCTGTACATTGCCTCTCTGTTTTTGGTTCTTGCCAGCTAGTATCCTTTAAAAATTAAAAAGAATTTATACTGTTACACAGTTTTTAAAATATACTGTTAAATAAGCATATATGGAAAAGTTAAAATCCTATGCCCTTGCCTAGAGAAAACTGCTTTTAATGGTTTGGTGTATGTGCTTCCAAACATTTTCCATCATGGAAAACTTTCCATGAAGGTATATGTATCCCTAATTCGTTCTTTTTAATGGTTGTATTATAGTCTAAAATATGAATGTATCATAATTTAAATCTTTGACTATTGATATACATTGAAGTTATTTCCATTTTTTGCCTTTGTAATCAATATAGCAGTGAAATTCTTGGTGTATAAACTGTTGTGCAATGTGCAATTATTTCTGTTGGCTAGATTCCTAGGCAAAGACTTGCTGAATGAAAAGATAGATATTTAAATTTTTATGTGTGGCTCAGTTGCTTTCTTAAAAGCTTGTAGAAATAGACATTTCCCCCAATAGTGTGTGAAAAATGACCATTTCTACATATCTTTGCCATCATTAGCTATTAGGATTCTTTCCCGCTGCTTTGGCAGTCTGATGGTATCTCATGGCTCAAATTTGCATTTCTCTAATTAAAAAAGGAGGTTGCATTTTTTCATACATTTATTGGTATTTATTCTTTATGATTGCTCTTTCAATTCCTTGCTTGATTTTCTTTTATTTTTCTTGTTTTAAATAATAGTTTTCTTATTAAATAATAGTCCTTTGTTATATATGCTGCAGGTATTGTCTGCTAGTTTGTCATTTGTATTTTATAGGATCTTTTGTCAAATAGGAATTTTCTATTTTTGTAGTCATATTTGTCAGTTTTTTTTTCCTTTATAACTATTAGGTTTTGTGTCTTATTCTAGGGAGATCTTCTCCATCCCAAGATTACACACAGCATCTCCCTTGTTTCCTTTAAATACTTTTTTCAGTTAAAAAAAAATTTAGCTCTTTAGTCAGTTTGGAGTTATTTATGTATGAATTGTGGGGTAAGACTCTAACCTTTTTTCCCCACACATCAAATTATCTCAACACCATTTATTGACTAGTCTGTGTTTTCCTTACAGATTTCAAATTCTTTCTTACTAATTCTCATATATTTATATATATGCATCTGTATATAGATATTTTTATACTGTCTACCATTCTGTTGATTTTTTTATTCCAACACTGGCATAATACTGTTTTGATATCTAGTAGGGAAAATCCTTCCTTAATTCTTCTTTTTAAAACATTTCTTAACCGTAAGCATTCCAGAAGAACTTTATGATCTGTTAAGTAATATTTTAATGCCTGTTTAAAGGGTATTTCATACCTTTTAGATTTATTTTTATTTATGATTTATTCATTCAATAATATGTTTTTTTTTCCTCTTACATTTCAGAGTCCTATGTATGGAAACTCACATGAGTCAGTTCAGTCTAGAAGGGTAGTAATTTCTCATAATATGGACAAAGCTCTGAAAGAAGGTAAGGATTAAATGAGGATGCATAATTACCATGTGAAGCAATTTGTTATGTCCTATAAGGAAAATGGTAATTTCTAACAAATATATCTATCCTCCTTGTCTTTGTGTAGCATTAGGATTTTTCCTTCATGAATTTTTACTTGAGGACTAAATAAACACATCCATGTTTGAATTGAATGGATGAGATTTAAACGTTGATTAAGTAGGAGTTTGCAGGTCACATGAAGCTAGCCAGGGAGCTAGTTCTACCATGTGAAGCAAGGATCTGTTCTGTTACCTAAAATAGGTAACAGGAATTTTTTTTTCTTTTAGAAAACTCTTTTCATCTTGCAAAGCTGAAACTCTATACCTATTCAACAATGATTCCCACACCCCTCATAACCACCATTCTGCTTTGTGCTCTATGAATTTAACTCTAGGTACCTTGTATAAGTGGAATCATATAGTGTGTGTTCTTTTGTTAAACGTTTAGCTTATTTACTTAGCATAATGTCATCAGAGTTCAGCCATTTTGCAGCATGTGTCAGAATTTCCCTCCTTTTTAAGGCTGATTAATATTGCATTTTATGTATATTCCATCTTCTGTGTATCTGTTTATCCATCAGTAGGTACTTGGGTTGCCTCCGCCTTCTGGCTGTTGTGAATAGTGCTGCTGTGAACATGGGTGTCTCTTTTTAATTTTTTAAGACGTAGAAATTACTCTGCACTTAGACGTGGCATGCTTATCTAGCATGGACCAACTTGTTCCAGAAATATTTATGAAAAGAGAAAGACGGGATAAGGACAGGCTTAGTTGGCAAAAACCAAAACACAACATAAAAACAAAACATTATCCTCAGGCTAATTTCTGTGAATGATTTATTTTGAAAAGAAAATTTTATCCAAAGCTTTTGGGTAAGAGCTTTAGTTGATTACACTTTGATACAGTTAATTTTTCTTTCCTTTTATTTTTACCATATTCTTAATGTTTACAATTTCCTGTCCATTTTTTTAAGCAAAATGATTTCCAAGGAAGATGAACATTATATCATCTACCAAAAGGAGCACTATAGGCTACTATAAAATTGGTTATTGGAAATAAAATTTATGCATTTGGCAGTAGTTGTTGTTAAAGAAAAACAACAGCAAACTAAAACCAAAACTGCCTTCTAAAAATTTGGACATTTAATTTAATGTGGAATTAGAATCTGGAAATGTATGTTGAGAAGGCTAAGAGGTTCCATAAGAATTTAGAAAATCTATAATGATTATAATTTGCATCTCTGGAGTATTTCAATTAACATTTCTAAACTCTGGCACCAGTATATTTGATTGAAATTCAAGTGTTATTAGCTAGTTATAATAAACTTGAATTGATAAAATTGAGGATGTCTTGGTATGCTTGCAAAATACAAATAATAGGGACATTTGTCAAGGCTGAAGTAATTTTTTTAATTGAAATATAGTTGATTTACAATGTTGTGTTAGTTTCTGGTGTACAGCAAAGTGATTCAGTTATGCATATATATGTGTGTATATATATATATTCTTTTTCATATTCTTTCCCCTTATGGTTCTCTCACCTCTCGTATTTCTCTACTTTGTTACTCTAAATCTTCTTTTCAGATTAATCTGACTAAAACTAAGGTTCTAATCATGTTATTCCATTCTCTGTAATTCCCAGTGATTCCCTTTTACCAACGTATTTCTTTGAGAGCCGTCCTAGAAAATAAATGTATTTGAGTGATAATGGCACCTGAATTTTTCTTGGCTGTTACTATGTCTTTAGAAGAAAAACTCTCTGCTTGGCAGTGAGAATAAGTGTTCTTTTATGTCTCACTGTGGTTTGTTACATTACTTACACTTATTCCTTAATGAAGACCATAAAATGATTTTATGACATGAATTTCTCTTGTCTCCTTGAATTGACCCAAAAGGTATACTTTAAAATATTTTTATATGTGTACTGATATAAATGAGTATATGTAGTTATGTAATGCATACTTAGAATCATGGCTTTGTTTTGTACATTTAACATTTGTTGTCTTTTTATGATACTTAGTTTGAGGAGAGATGCTGATGAGCTATTGATAGAAGATAAACGTGTGGCTCACACATATCTCTATTACTGAGTACAGGCTTTGCCAGTATTAATTTTTATCAATTTCTAACCAAAGTGTATTATCAGAGGAGTATTTTGGAGCTGTAATAATTAGAATTTGCAGTGTGGTTAAATGTAATGAGACATTATGGAGGTGAACACACCCATCACATAAATCCTTTACCATGTTAAAAAGATCTTATTTTTAGATACTGTCTCTTATAATTGCACGTAATTTCCTGCTTTAATTTGAAGTTAAATTTTAATGAAAGGGAAAATTGTTCTATTTTCCAAATGTTTTAGTTTTCAGATTTGTTTGCTACTAGTTAAAAACTCTAGGCATGAAAACTTCTAGTTTAATAAAAGAGTAAGAAAGAATTGCACATGAGCAAATTAACAGTGTTTTATTGGCAAGGTGGCTCCCCTCATGCTCTTGTTGCTTGGCATTGGGATTCCCAGAAGGAGGATAAAAGGACAATAAAGGCCTTGCAGACGACCCTTGGAGTTCAGTAATCCAGCTTGCCATCTCAGAAAGTAGTTTTTTCCATGTCTTCCTTGTCAATTAGATATCCATCTTGTTTAAAAGCTTCTTATGATGGAATGATGGAACATTCCTCATCTACTGTGGCAACCTCTTGAATAGCTTGAATGTTTTTATTCACTTCCTCTTTATGTTGAACAGAAAAAACAACTTCCTTGTATTTTCCACTCATTGGCCCTATTTGTACGTTCCTTCTCCACCCCAGAGCTAAGATGTTCAAGAGATACCATGGGCTAGGGGAAGCCACCAGCAGGGTGCCAGCAGAATTCTCCAGAAAACTGCTCTCTGGGTCCTAGGAGCTTGCTGGGGATGCACGCTGTTCAGTGCCCCGCGAGCTGCTGTCAGCTGCGTGTTGCAGGAATGGTGAGAGAAGAGCTCACAGGAACCAGGAAGGAAGCCCCTTCCTCTTCCAGTGTCCCCCCGCCAGCATCCTCTGTTGACTAATCTCAACAGTCTGCCAGTCGGCAAAGAAAAAATGTTTACTGGGTTCAGCTCCAGTATCATAAAGCAGGGCAAAAAATTGTGAATTGGAGCTAAGAGACAATTGAGTTGATAACTGACACACTCCACAAGTATGTTTTACTGTGTCAGATGCTCAATCACAAAAAAAAAACAGAGTTTCATACCAAGATAGAATATTTAAAAATTGGGCTATCCAAGAAAATCCAGGACCTATGGTCACCACATCCTCAAAATTTTAGATAGATGAGAACCTCTCGTTTTGAAAGGTTTTAGGAAAAAGCATGTTTTGCCTTGTTTTGTTTTCTACTCTTTTTGTATTTTAAACAGTGACTATTAAATAGCAGGTGACCAGATTCCAGTAGGAAAGCTGTCTCGGTGTCTGCTGCTTTCACCCAAGTTTTACGTGATGCTTTGTCTGTTCCTGGTAGTGTTTGACTACAGTTACAGAGACTACATCCTGTCCTGGTACAGAAGCCTCAGCAGAGATGAGGGACAGCTCTACCATCTGCTGTCAGAGGACTTTTGGGAAATCGCCCGACAGCTGCGCCACAGGCTGAGCCACGTGGATGTGGTCAAAGTCGTCTGCAATGACATCGTGAGAGCTTTGCTCACTCACTTCTGTGACCTGAAGGCGGCGAATTCCAGGTAACCGTTAAAATGGAAACAACCTCTCACCAGCTCTCTCCCGCCCCCAGCTTAATTCACATTAATATATCTTTCTTACTGAGAAAGGGGTCGAAGTCAAGACAAAACTCTAGCACGTTTATCTTCTTGCTGGCCCTTGGCTGGAAATGTAGGCATACTTGGGGGAAATCATAATGTTATGACAGAGTAAATTTTTAAAAATTATTTTTTAGTAGAAAACCACTTTATAGACTTGTTTGATTTTGTAAGTAACTGAAACAGTGAAACAGATTTTACGGAGCCAGCAGTATCATGAACTTCTTAGAATGGGGTACCTAGAAACAGAAAATGTTAATGTAGTGTTTGAAACTCTGAAGAATGTCAGTGAGTTATCAATTATCAGAAAAGTTTTAAAAAAGTTCATGTTTCTTTTTGTGAGTCTTGTGTTAAGAGCTCTATAGCATCATAATATCCTGGGAATCAATTTTTAAAAGGACCTTAATGTTGGAATGTGTGGGCTGTAATTAGAGAGGGTGTTTCCGTGTGAAAATTGCTAATATTTAGGCTTTGTAGCCTTTTGTGCTGTTAACAGGGGAAAGGTTTGTGCCTGTGAGATGATTCTGCCTTTGGAAGAAGACTTCCACAAGGCCATTTCTAGGCTGATAACAAATTCTTACTTTCTTAGTTTGCTGACCAGATCTTAAATGTAGGTCTCACTCTTGCGGGAGTGAGAGAGTGAGTCACATAGCACCTCTGACTTGGGCGTAAGAGGCAGTCTTACTGTTACGAGTGGCCTTCTGCCTGATTGGAGGCGGACTCAGTTGGAGTAGGAGGGGGAGCTCCCTGCAGTTAATGCGGCCTCTTCTCGCTGATTCTCCTCTTCCTCTGCTGTCAGGGAAGAGACAAAGTATTTGCAAAATATGTAAGCATCCGCATCCTCACCTGGCAGGCAGTAACTCACACCCTTCTGAGAAGCCCTGTTGTGCTGCGGCTCTGTCAGAAGGCACTCCCTGCTCCGGCCTGGGAGGCCCTCAGGGACCTGGGTGCTTCAGGTTGTTGCGCAACATCAGAGCTCCATCCTTGGCTACGCTGCCTTTTCCCGTGAGTCATCCTCTCTCCTCGTGTCTGCCTGGCTCTGGCCCCTGAGGACGGAAGCTGCAGAGCCACCATATGCCTGCTACTTTTCAGTTTGCTACCCCCAGTGTTCTGCAACCTTTTTAAAACCTGTGACCAACCCACAGTAAGAAATACATTTTATATTGTGAAACTATTGTGATTAGTTTCATCTAATACTGCTCATTACCTGTGATAACTTTGAAATTTTTTTTTGTTCTTTAACATTTAAAAGGTGTTTGAGACTAAATTTTATTTTGTTCCTCGTCACAGCCTATGATTTGAAAAAATTACTGTAGAGCAGCAATTATCAGGTTTCATGGTCTCAGAATCCCTCTACGCTCTTAAAAGTTGCTGAGAACCTGAAAGAGCTTTTTGTTTATGTGGGTCACAGCTCGTGATGTCCGGGGGCTGACTTGTGCTGGTTTGCAAGAGCTGACTGTGCACATCTCTTCCCAGCTCTGAGGTCGGCGATAATCGGGTTCCTGGCTCATAATTGGCCATGGTGGGAGTATTTACACCATGATATGGGCAAATCTACAAATCAGAGCTTTTCTTCCCTTGGAGAGCCAGGTGTTAAACATTTACCAGCTTACCACTCATCATATCTTGTCAATATTTACCATATTAGATTCTAAACTAAGAAAATTTTAAACTATAGGACTACACAGTACTCTTTCCACTCACCATCAAAGTGACAATGTCATCACGTCATGTAGCCTCTGGAAAATTCCACAAACCTGTGAAGAGTGAAAGACACATGGCCTTTTTCTATTGCTGTGAATGTGGTTTCAACCTCACAGACCTCCTGAAAGGGTCTTGGGGACACACAGGGGCTTCCAGGCCACCCTTTGATAGCCACTGTTTATAGAGAAAGTAACTTCCAGTAAGGAGGTATGTGAACTTATAAGGAAAGAAGAGAAATAGGACTCTTGGTTTACCTCCCTGGAGTCCAGAAAGCTTCAGCCTCTCCTGAGTGTTCAGCAACCCTGTGCAGCACCTACCAACTGGCTGTGGCTTCCGCTGAATAAGGCACTCCAGAATTCTGCCTGGTGGAAAAGACTTACTTCAATTCAGTGGAGGCTCATTTTAAAGTGAAATGTTTAAATTACGGTTCAGTATAGGACAGCATTTTAGATCATTGTTTTATTCTAGTTAAAAGACTGATTCATTTAGGTTTGGGGGAAGAGCAGGTGGTTAGACAAATTTTGGTGTTTTTATGATTATCTAATTTCAGCATGAGAATATATTTTTCATTGAGACATTTGTTTACCAGCTTCTGAAATTACTGCTTCTGTGGATAATATGAAGATATTATGGACAAGCATCAGAATAATAGAAACAGAGATTGATTCCATTTTAGAAAGTCCTCCTCTTTGGACTTCTGGTTTGCTTGGGCCAAGGGCAGATGTATTGTCTTGCTGTCTAGGCTATGCCTAGGAGCGCTAGCTGATGATTCTTATTAAAGAAAAAAAATCTACCACTATTTTCTGAGATTATGGATATTTGGAAAAATGCTGGTAGGTCAGTGGTGTTTTGCATATGGATGATGGTGCCCTGGAGGTGAATGCTGGGGATCTAATATCTGACTGTGCGTCATCTTCTACAGATCACGTAATGGGACTGGCAGAAATGCAATTAGGTTTGATGGTTATCTCTGTACTTGCCTACTCCAGGTGAACAGTGCCCTCGTCCTGAAATTGCCGTTGCTGTGCAGATTTCCATTGGGTGCAGAATGACTTTGGCAGCCAGGGAAGCACCCAGTTGAATTGGCCACTGTCAGACTAGAGCATAATAAATTGCATTAATAAAAGCAACACATCCTCTGGTTGACTGTTAGGTAATTGTGTGGAGGCAGCTTTCCGATCAGCCTGTATTTATTTCCCAGCCGGCATTCTGTTGGCCGCTTTAAGCCAATCCAGATCCCACTTAATTCTTGCCTCTGCTTCCTCTTCCTTTGCCCCATCTGTCTTGTTCCAGCATGTTTCAGGAAAATCTAAAAATGATTGTTTTTATGTTGTTAAATCAATAGCATCTTTAATTTCACAGCCTTCTTTTTACAGTCTCTGTTCTGTTTACCAGTCAAGCACTGGCATGCTGTTTAAGGAAAAAAATAATGTTTTTATTCATATATTTTCTTTTTTTATCTCTGAATTTTCTTTTTTACTTTCATCTTAGCAATCTTTGATTATGGTGTAGTTTTAAAGAGTCTGGACTTGAGAGTCAGAAAAGGACTTGAAAGTTATTTCTACCATTTATTATCTCTGTGACTTTGACCTATTCACGTAACAATTCAGATCTTTAATATTCTCATCTATGAAGTAGTGATGGTGATATCTGCTTCTGGGTGTACATGGGAAGATTAAGTAACATTGCACATACGAAATTTACGGAAGGTCAGTGTCCTTTTGCTCACTCAAGGCGTGAGAACCCAGAAGTGAGGAGTTGGAGTTGCAGTAAACAGTCTGCACTGACAGAGGTTGCTGCCAGGACTGAGGCTGCAGTCCACCAGAACACTAGAGGGACCTGGCTCAGGAGGAACCATGTGCCTTATGTTCCTTTCTAGACTTCTAAAGTCTCCACTTACTAGCGGGCATCACAGGAGTACCCTTCTTAGAGTTAGTGGAGGATTCCAGGGAAGCATTCACCTTTCCTTTCTTCCTGCATCAAGGTTGTTTGACCAGCCATCTGGCCTTTGGTTCACTCGGAAGGTTTTCCCCTCACTGTCCAGGAAGAAGGGGAACTCCTGGAAGTCTGAGGACCAGGCTCCATTTTATTATCTCCCCTCCACTGGGGTAGAGAAGGGGCCTGGAGAGCGATTTTGATATTTTATAAAGAAGGCTCTTTTGTTAAAGTGGATCTGGAGGGTGGGGGACGACTTCCCCCAATAAATATTAACCAAATATATATTTTAAAGTAAAGTTTTACTCTTCAAAATGGTCACTGGTCATAAAGGCAGCATTATGCATTTATTTGTTTCATTTCCTGTGTGGTACTTACTGTGCTTCTTCCCCCTCTGTTTAGTGTTTTGGTTTGGAATTTTTTCCAACTGTTGGCTGCTAGTTACTATAAGAAGCCCATAAACTGCCTCTTGCTTGGAAGATATTAGAAAAATTAGCTTCCCAGTCTTTCTTGAATTGCTATCCAGATACTGTGGGACAAGGAGGTATGGAGCGTTCTGCTTTCCCCTCTCTTCACTCATATCCTTGAAATTAATGGTCCTGGGATGGGATGGGGTCAGGGCTGACAGGGAATCTGTGACCTGGGTTGGTAAGGCTGGCTGGGGAAATACTTGGGAGCCACGCAGAAGGTAGTTAGTCATCAAATAATGAAGCGTCAGTCATGGAGCCTCTCCTTAGTAGAAATTCCCATCCATTTTTTTTTATCCTAGAATCACCCTGTCAGGAAAGCTGCCTGGTGACCCAGGTTTATGCTTTGATAGATTTTTTTCCTGCACAATGAAGCCATAGATCACACTGAAGAAGAGATCTAGGAGACTTAAAAATATGTAAAGAGATACTCATCTCCTTCTGGATTGTTGCTGTGATTTGGGAGGTGTGTTTACCTATTGATGCTACTTAAGATCGGAAATCTCAAAAGGCCCTGCATTCAGGTTTTCATAGATTAGTCTGTGGTTGAGAAAATTGTTGGCTGTTAATGTTGTCAGAGTAGACACAGTTATTAAAACTGATGTGTTGCCCATTTGAAATATTTTTTTAACCTAACGGTACATAACCAAATTGTTTCTGGAAATTTCTTTCCTTCCTTTTCCCTCTCGTCATGTATTTTTGCAGACACGAAGAACAGCCGAGGCCTTTTGTGTTGCACGCATGCTTGAGGAACTCAGACGATGAAGGAAGATTCCTGCAAACATGTTCTCGGGTTCTGGTGTTTTGTCTCCTCCCCTCAAAGGATGTCCAGTCTCTCAGCTTACGCATAATGCTTGCAGAAATTCTCACAACAAAAGGTAGACTTTTTATAAGTAATTGCTGTTACTAATGCGATACTTGTGCAAACTAACGTGCTACATACTAATGTGATAACGCTTCATATGACACCTGTGCAGACTTGTATACTGTGGGACGTACGAGCATTAAATCATTTTCAAAATGTCAAGTTTAAATGTCATTCAAAGAGGGCATCACTTGTCCATACGTGAGACAAATTTTTTATGCAACATATTGCCAGATATGTAGTCCGTCCTGTTGTTTGTAACAGATAACTAGTCCTTATGCTCTCAACAGGGAGGCATTCATTTGGGATAGCTTTTGAGTTACCCAGGCCAATTATACACTAGTGAAAGAATATCTATACTCAAACTGGAGTATGTGTTTACTTAAAACATCTTTGCTGAAGTATTCATTGATTATGCCTGTATATAACTTAGAATAAATAAAAAAAGGAACTATGCTGCAATATAATGTGATTACTAGACAAAAGTATATCCACGGAAATGCTTAGCCAGGGTGAGGAAAATGGAAGACTGTATGATCTAAGACTTCTCCTATCTCAGAATCTCAAACAGATAAGGCTGTATTGGATATGCAATGATTGACTGTCTCATTTATTATCTCAGGATTAGCCAGCTGTGCCTGTCAGCTGATACAGCCAACCACAGAGAAAAGGGGAACTTTTTGACCTAAAGTTAGGAGGATAAATCTGTCATAGTGTCATTAACTTTCTAACAACTTCCTCCCTGAGGTCTGCTTTCACCAGTTGGGAGAGTGTTGACTCTCATCTTTTGGCAGACAAAGCATACTGAGCTTTGTGGACGCAATAAAAGGGGAAAATGAGTGTACTTAATTTTGATGACCTTGTTAACAACTTGGGTTCCAAACGATCTTCTTTTATTATTAATTAATAAATTTACATGTAACTCGTTTGTTAAAACGACCACTTGGTTGGTTGTAGCCATTGCTGGTAGCAAACCCAGGGGGATGGGTAGCTGTGTGTGCACGTGCTCGTGTGTGTGTGCATGTGTGTGTCTGCGGCCCATTGGGTAGTTTTAAAATACTTCCCAAATGTAGTTTCAATTATATAATGTGGAAACAGTTCCTTTAAAGAAGATCCTTTTCAGTGATGCTTTCTTCTGTGTCCCACAGTCTTAAAGCCAGTGGTGGAGTTACTCAGTAATCCAGATTACATTAACCAAATGTTGCTTGCCCAGCTGGAGCGCAGAGAGCAGATGAATGAGCACCACAAGAGAGCCTACACATATGCTCCCTCTTATGAAGAGTTCATCAAGCTTATCAACAGCAACTCTGATGTTGAGTTCTTGAAGCAGCTAAGGTACTTGTGTTTAATTATAGCGTGACAATAGTTGCTAATTACCTTCCTCTGCCTAGTTAGGTGAAAAAAATGGTTGTCAGGGAAGCAGAAATAAAGGAAGTCCATAAATCTTATTAATCAGTGACAACCGAATTTACCCAGCTTCTCCCTTAGCAGTGGAATTCGTTTGTTCAGAGTATCATGTTTATCAAATAACGAGGTTAGAGTAGATAGAAGGCTGTTCAGTTGTTAGAACTGTGCAGCTGCTCAAATGCTTGCCTTGGAAAAGCAGTGGAAGTGAAGGCTGTGTTTTTAAAATTACAGTGTAGAACATTGTGTTGATTTTCATTTTTCTTAGAAAATCCAGAGGCACAGGTTTGGGAATAAAGGGCTCTTGACTAATTGTTTTGCAAAAACACTTTTGAAGTATATACCCCGGAAGTCTGATTTATAGGAATGTTCAATCTCCCTTATTGTGCTTGAGATATTTTAGGGGTGAGTGTGTTTATTTTTTATTCTTTAATATTGTACATGCATATACAGTATGATTATATAGTACTGTGTAGTTGGTGGATTTTCTAGCCTTCTGTTTATCTAGTTACCTTTCATTTTAGTGTCCCCAAATGAGCACACATGGGAAGAAATGAAACTCTGGTCTGTCAGTTTTGCTTCTGACAAGTAATTTTTGTAGATCATTGATGGAGTAGTAAAGTATTGGCTGATATTGGGTCTTTGAACTATTTGAGGATTTTAGACTTGCCACATTTGCCCCTGAACAAGGGTCAACATTTAACTGAGTTTTGCTGCTTAATTTTCTAATCTGAATAATACATGCTGTAAGAAGCATACACCGTAGATGACACTGTGTCCTTGTAAACTGTGCCGGGTGTTAACGTAGGTCCCGCACATGTATAATGATGGGTTTGATTGTATGGCTTTGCTTACAAGGAATTTAATTCTTATGGAATATAGTCTCTGAAGATTTTAATTATGTTTCTCTTTCTATGTATAATCTTGACTAGCCTGTAAGGTGCTTATTTATTAAGTTGATATAAAGACTGAGTCCAAGTGGAATGACCTATTCTGAAATCCATCCCTTTATAAGCTTTCAGTACTTCATGTAAATCTTGGGAAATATGTTAATAACTCCCTCTAGAAGGTCTGCAAAATTCTCTTGTAACAGAGGTGTAGACTTCTTGGTAGAGTCACATGCACGTGAAGACATCATAGTCCCCCCAGCAAGCTTGACACAGAACCTTAGGAGAGAACAGTGCGAAGAGCATTTTTGTCAGTGACAGGCACACACAGCCAGAGTTGCTTTCTGTGTGCTTGTGTAAATCCTCCATTATCCTGTGCATCTTCCCCAGACCCAAGACCACGAGACAGCTCCTTGGGCTTTGCCGTGTTGTGGAATGTCCGCTTGTTCCCCTTGATGTGGCACTGATACAATATCTTCTGTCCACCAGGAGGTTGTCCCTGTTCGTTGTATCTGGGGAACAGACCTGAGGACTGATTTTTATTCCCTGCTTCTTGCACTAGAAAGGCTGCCGGGAACAACTTTGTGATGGCAGAGATTGATCTTTTTGCTCAAAAATGGCGATGCTGCATAAATGATCTTGTTACTTAGCTACTTACTGTTCATCTGATAAAAAAAATTGGCCCTCTGTTTAAGGGGCGATTCTGCTCCCTCTTATTGATGGGCAGAATTGCTGTTTATCAGACTCCTGTCTAAAACTCTCATCGATGGGGCTTATCAGCCACGTGGCACTAATGGAGCTGCTTTCTTCAGTCATAGTCCCAAGTATTCTGGTGTTTTCCCGGTATAGTTAGAGGCTGACTTTATTAGCGTTTTAGGTCATTATCTTCAAATTGCTCTCAGTAAAATTTGGGTAGGCCACCTAAGGCAGGGAATATGTCTTATTTAGACTAAGAGAAACCATCCACCTTTATTTCATACATACTTGGGTGCGAGATGAGTGTTTTCTAAAGGAAATCGTCATTCAGCTCTGCCAGGCTGGAATGCATTAAAAACAAATAAGAAAAAAAAGCCCTTGAAGATACTATTTGTAGTACTGTGGTAGTTCGCTTTTTTCTGAGTCAGCTGATGCTTTCACAGCAGGATTGTCGGGCTGGAAGTGCGCCTTTTAGGTATACTAAATTAGTCGTTTTTAACCCTGGCCATATATGAGCGTCTGCTAGGCTCTGAAAAAGTTACAGTTTGGTATCCTGATGTCCGTTTGTAGCTGCTTCCTTTTTCTTCTTTTCAGGCATCTAAGATGTCCAAGTGAGGATGTGATGGCTAGACTGGTAAAATATTTTGAATTTTCCAGGATCATCTAGGAGGTGCAGTGATCAACTCTGCTAACAAAACAGGAGCCAGGAATCTGAATGTCATGTTGATGCAGGATGTTAAGGGGCAGCTGAATAGATTCCTGCTGCTGGTGGGGTTACGGGATGCTGGCCACCACCCACAAGGAAGGCAAGCCAGGTTCAGAGCAAAGATGCATCCTGTAGTGGAACTCGACAGTCACAACCTTAGAGACAGGACTGTGTGTTCCTTTACTTTGAAGATAAAGTGGGCGTCAGAGTGAGCATTAAGCAGAGGAGAAGTGAAGGGTTCTGCCCTGACAGAACCCCTTGTAAAGAAGTAGGCAGATTGTGGCCTGGGAATCTGGTGCGTCCAGGGCCGCCTGTGTTCTGTAATTCTTCAGTGTATTTGTGATAAGTACTCTAATGACCCTAACTTGCTCCTCCGTGGAAAACACAGATGCCTGGGCGTCACTGCCAGGAGCTTTAATGTACTTGGTCTGGAGTGGAACCTGGGCATCGGTATTTTTTAAAAGCTCCCAGGTGGTTATGAAATGCAATTAATATACTGAGTATCTCTTTTAAATGCAATATCCTTTCTCATGCGACCAGTCTGAAGTCTTGGCTAGGTGTCGTGTCATATAATTCATTATATTGTGGTTCTTTGAAAACTGTTTATTACTGTTTGAGATATATAGTAACTCTGTTGAGGACAATATTGATTAATTAAGACACATCATTCTTCTGCCATGTTTACTGTAATGAACAAGGGGCGTTTTACCACTGACCTTCCTGAGAGACATGTTTGACAGATTTCTCAGCCCTTGGCAAATGTAACATTTGAGACTGGCTAAGTCTTTGATGTGGGGGTTGTTCTGTTTATCATAGAACACTAGCAGCATCCCTAGCCTCTGTCCACTGAATGCCAGTGGCACCCCCACAGCCGTGACAACCGAAAATCTCTCCAGACACTGTCAGATATCCTCTAGGGGCCAAAATTGTCCCAGCGTAAGAGCCACTGTGACCCCAGGAACACTTTGGAGATACTGTGATTATATTAGTGAGGATTACATTCAGCTGAATGTTACAGAAAAGCCACAAAGTAATGATGACTTTCCAAAGCTGTTTTCTTCCTCACATAGAAGAGGTCTGGAGCGGGCAGCCCAGGACTGGTTCAGGGGCTCCACCCTCCTCAAGGACCCAGGCTCCTTCTCGCTCGCTGCTCTGCCGTCCTGTTCCCCGAGCCTCAGGGCTCCGGGTGTGCTTGGATCGCCATCCTTTACATCCCAACCCTAATCCCAGGAAGCGGAGCGAAGGCAGGGAAAGGTGGTGGCGGAGGTCATGCACTGGCTGGCTTTTAAGGATATTTCTGGAAGCTGCTACACGACATTTTTGCTTATATTTTGTTGGTCAAAACAGTTGAGAGAAAACAAGTAGTCTTATTCTGGGTACCCTAGGTTTAGTTAAAAATGGAGAATTCTGTTACTACAGAAGAAAAACGAGTGGGTGCGGAATAGACAAATAGCCGCTTTTGCTTAAGTACTGCGTGTTATCCAGTCACGTGAGGCAGGACGGCACCACTTCCCACCCAGGCACTGCGAGAGTGCTCCTTTCCTGGACTGGACATTTGCCGGATTAGAGAGATGCCAAGCAAATGCTCAGGAGGGGAAAACTGTCTTTGTTCTTAAGCTACCAATTGTTGAATATCTAATATGTAACAAGCACAACGCCAAGTTCTTTATAATCATCATTTGATCATTAAAACAACTGTGTAAAGTAGGTCCTGTGATTCTCCTTTTGTGGTTTAAGAAAGTAAAATGACTTGCTTTGGATCACACAGCTTGTAACAGAGCTGGGATTTGAACTCAGGTTGTCTGACTTCAGACCCCGTGTGTGAAGCCGGGTAACTTGGTAGCCAGGTGGGCAGAAATCAGCAGTGACACATGGCCCCAACCCTTTGGGATTTCCTGCAAGCATGGAGATAGCTCTTTACTGTCCAGGAGTCTTTGAAGGCATAAACCCTTGCATGAAGGATGATACCAACAGAAGTACCATCTTTTATTACGACGGTGGCAGACTGCCAGAGGAAGAAGTAGTAATATAGAAAATCAGAGCAGCCTGTCACCGCCGTAATCTCATTTACCGCCAACCCAGCTTTATTAGATTTTTCGGTTCTGTATTTGTTTATTTCTGACCCTCATTTAAAAAGCAATGTGGAGAATCTAAAAATAGTAGAGAGGAAATTTTAATAATGAAAGGTTTAAAATTAAAGAGATTAAGGATTATTTAGCTTGGAGAAGAGAAGGAAACTTTATCTAGCACATGCTGAGACTGATGTGGCGTTTTCTGTTTTACTAAAATAAAGCAAGAGGCAGTGGGCATGATGGAGTGGGCGACTGAGCGCATTTGCGGAATGTTTCTTCCTTAGATATCACAAGGGGATGGATTTTCAGCTCCACATTAATTTAGGTGCATTTATATATGAAGATAATATATTGAAAACATTAAGCGTCTTAAACTGCATGATTCTGTGTAGAAGAATTTAGATTATTTGAATGTTCAGTGTTTTGTACAGATTCTGAAAATGTGAGTCTTGAGCAAGAAATAGGGTTATAATAGAGAAGAGGAAAAGAGAAATCATGCATACGTGAGACAAGCTACTGCAGCGTGTCAGAAATCAGTGAGCACGTGGAAACTGCTACGGGAGGTTAGTG